ACAGGCCTAGAGATAAAACATAAAACTATGCATCTTTTACCAGAAAACGTAGAAGAAAATTTTGTGATCTTGGATTAGGCAGAGTTCTTAAATACAATACAAAAAGCATATCCATAAATGAAAAAAAATGGTAAATAGGACTCATCCAAATTAAATCCTTTCATTCTGCAAAAGACCCTGTTAAGATATTAAGAAGATAAGCACTGAGAAAATATTTGCAAATCACATATCTCACAAAGGACTTGTGTCCAGAATATATAAAGAACTCTCAAAACTCAACAATAAGAAAACAAACTACCCAATTAAAAAACAAGCAAAAGATCTGAACAGACAAATAAAAACATGCAAAGATGTTAAACATCATTAGTCATTATAGAAATACAAATTCAAACCACAATGAAATACCAGTACACACCTATTCAAATGAGTAAAAGATAAAGAAAACTGACAATACCAAGTGCTGACAATGATGTGAACAAACTAGCATTCTCATACATTGCTGGTAGAAATGTAAAATGGTAACAACCACTTTGAAAAATAATTGGACAGTTTCTTTCCCTCCTTCCTTCCTTCCTTCCTTCCTTCCTTTCTTTTTTCTTTCTTTCTTTTCTTTTTTTTAGATGGAGTTTCACTCTTGTCACCCAGGCTGGAGTTCCGTGACACAATCTCAGTTCACTGCAACCTCCACCTCTTGGATTCAAGCGATTCTCCTGCCACGGCCTCCCGCGTAGCTGGGATTACAGGCATGAGCCACCACACCCAGCTAGTTTTTGTATTTTTAGTAGAGATGGGGTTTCACCATGTTGGCCAGGCTGGTCTCGAACTCCTGACCTCAGGTGATTCACCTGCCTCGGCCTCCCAAAGTGCTAGGATTACAGGCGTGAGCCACCACGTTTGGCCTAGGCAGTTTCTTATAAAGTTAAACATACTTTTCATATGACCTAGCAATTCCACTCCTAAGTATTTACCCAAGAGAAATGAAAACTTATGTTCACATAACAACCTATTTTATGAATGTTTTACAGCAGTTATGGCAACATTTATTCATAACCACCAAAAACTGGAAATAACCTAAATGTTCTTCATCTGCTGAATATATAAACTATGGCACATCCCATACAATGGAATACTACTCAATAATAAAAAGTAAGAAGTGAAATAAACCAGATCCAAAGGGCTCTATTTGACTCACTCTATGGCTTATTTATATGACATACTGAAAAAGGCAAAACTCCAGGGGTCGAGAACAGATCCATGGCTACCAGGGTTTCAGGTCAGGGAAGGGGTTGACTACAAAGGGATAGCATGAGGGAAGTATTAGACTGATGGACTCTTTCTGCATTCGCATTGTGGTAGTGCTTCCACAACTCTATGCATTTGTCAAAACTCAAAGCATTGTACACCAAAAAGAATGAATTTTTGAAACAAATATATATTTAAATAGCATGCCTGCATGTGGTTCTTTGCATTATGTGATAACTGCAACATTATCTCAGGAATAAAATATATAATTATTTTTAAATTTACAAAAAAATTCTAAAAAGCATTAGTGGTGGGCCCAAGGGGTAGAAAGGGAAGAGCAGAATATATTTATAAGCAGAAAAAAGGGGCCTCAGTGGAGAGATAAAGTAGATATGCAAGAAAGGAGCAGTAATGAATTGAACAAAGCTGTGAAAGAAAGAAATGGAAGGGAACAGAATCAAGCACAGAAGCGGCCAAGTTCTAAGTATCTTTCAAATCATAAATTAAGCATCATTACCTCTACAAAGCCTTCCCAGGAGCCCCAAAGTGGAAATTACCTTTTCCTCCTCTGAAACTCCACATCATTTTAAACATACTGTCTGATAACTCTTCCTAATTACTATGAGATAGAATTATTAATACTTTACATGTCTTATCTCCTGTTCCTGCCCCAACAACCCACTAGATTATAAATTATTTGAAAGCAAAGTTTCAGGAGCAATTTATACTTCTTTCCTCCACAGTGCCTTGCATTGTGCTTTAAATAAGTAAAAACAAAACTGCAAAACCCACAATAAGGATGTTGAGTAAATAATGCAGAGAGTAGTAGATGGTTTACTGATTGATTCTTACATGTGATATTCCTTGTATTACAATCCAGTATAATGACTTTTGCACAATGGCACTTTTGTTATCAAACGTATTCAGTTATGGATTCATCTGAGTCTTGAATTTGAAGCAATAAATGTTCAAAAAAATGTCAAGGACATCAATTACTTACAAAAATATATTAAAAAGTTCACCTTGGCCAGGCGCAGTGGCTCACGCCTGTAATCCCAGCACTTTGGGAGGCTGAGGCAAGTGGATCACCTGAGGTCAGGAGTTCAAGATCAGCCTGGCCAACATGGCAAAACCCCGCCTCTACTAAAAATACAAAAATTAGCCTGGCGTGGTGGCACATGCCTGTAATCCCAGCTACTCGGG